TCATCAGAACCACGTGACCGCAACCCAACTATTGCCTTCATATTAAATCATTTTTTGAAAAATAATTTTTAAAAATATTTCTTCACGTCAAGCGATGTGACATCACTGCAAGTAGAGGTGACATGGGCAGTGAGATTGAGACACAGGCATTTGAGCCTCTTTAATGCATGTTTTGTTTGGGTTTCCAAAAATAGAGAGGGCATAGCCTAACATATGAAAAAGGAAAAGACCGCGCGTAATCCATTTAGTTCAACAAAGTAGCTGTATTCTGAATACCACCTTTTAAAACGGTAACTGTAACGGGATACAGTTACCCATATTCTGTATTTTAAATATGTAACGGCGCTACATGTATCCTGTTACTCCCCAACACTGCCTCTGCACAACTTGACAAATATGAACTTAATTTTTGCTATCCTGGTTCCACAGCGGGTTTGTGCCATTTTAAAAATCAGACATTTGCATATGGGATTATGAACCACCATCGTCTTAGTGCACGGTTTGCTAACCATGTGAGAGCAGATGTATAACACCGCTGTTGATTTGTGAGTGTACATTCATATGTTTTTAGTGAAACATTACTAATAACGTTCGAGACACAATCAATATTTTTTTAAATGATGTTTGCTCATAAGACCCGATCATGTCTCAGTAAACTTATATTAGACAACCCAGTGGCTTACATAAACATGTTTGTCAGCATTCTGGTGATTTGTCACCTACCTCGAGCAATATGCTGATCTGTGTTGTCATCATTCTTCACTTTTTTCACTTCTTCACGATTTCTTTTGTCTTGAATGTCGAATGTCCCACTTCTTCCCATCGTCTTGACTGTGATGACTGTCCCATTTCCTTCAGCCTCAGTTAAAGATGGTATCTCCACAGTCACCCTGCAGATGTACGTCCCTGAATCCTCTGTTCTAACATTTGAGATATTCAAAGATGAACAATTCTTCTCTTCCTTTTTCAGAAACACATTAGGCTGATCACTCCTAATTTCTGTTTGATTTTTAAGCCAGTTCACTCTAAATCTTTCAAACTTCCCTGTCCAGCAGCAGGTGATGTTTACTGTCTCACCCTCCATGACAGAAACATGAGGACTCTGTGTCACAACAAATGTGCCTGATGAAACACCTGTAACAGACAAAGTTATTATTATTATTATTAAAAAATAATATACAGTAGTGATTGCACATTGGAAATAAAGATGACATGACAATAATTTTTGTCAAGGGCAGCAGATGAAGACTGTGTGGAGTTGAGAACAGAAGACCTAAATCCAGACAAAACAAATCATGGAAACAAACTTAATATTAACTGAAAGCGAGTCTTTTATTATGGCTGATGGAGAAATACAAAGCAATGCACAAGGTAACCAAGCTAAGAATAAACAATAACCTAAACTGGGAAAACTAAGCATGAAAAACCCTAAATGTGAAACTGGATGCATGGACACCAGGAACATGGTGCAAAAGACACCAGACGACTTGACAATGAACAAAAGGAAGACAGAACACTTAAATACACAGAAGAGTAAGAGGGAAGTGGAAACACCTGGCAAACACAGCTGACACAAATGAGCATGATCCCACAGGGGAGGCAAAACTGAACACACTGAACACCAGACTGTCAAAATAACATAGGAAACATCGTGAGACGTAGACATGACAACACGAGCTTGACGATATGACATGGAAAACGCAGACATGAAACACAGACTGGGGAGACCGAATGATACACAAGGAGAGGAACACGGAAAGAGATAAGGGGAACGAGGCACAGGCATAACTAAAAATCATGCACAGAGGACAAGAGACAGAAAACGATGAAACTTTAACTGAACAAAACCTAACTAAGACATATTTATAGTAACACTAGAATTTAGCATTACAGTAATATGGTAAGAAACATACAAAATAAACTTCCTGACAACTTTTAGGTTGTCTTTTACATCTATCGTTTCAAAAACCTTGAATCAATATAACTTCTTCATTCAAAGTCTAAGTCAGAAATCTATTCGCTCTCCTTTTAACTGTTGTTTGATGTCCATAAGTTGTTTAATGTGGTTCACTATATGTTCAGTCACTTAGCACTTCCTTCATGTGAATTCAGCTAAACTTCACTCAGTTTCCTGCTCAGAACTAGCCATGCCCTGTAAATTTGTCATGAAAATGAAAGTGATGGGCTTAAAAATGCATAAAAGCACTTACATTCAACTATGTCTATATTTCGCTATTTTCATTAAGCTTCATGTTTAAGCAGGTCCCCCTTTTTTTTTTTTATCTCGTCCAGTTCCTGTGCTTTATAAGTAGGATGATTAAAGTCAACAATAATTTGAATGCTAAAAATTAATTCTGTATAATCTGAGTACTTTTAGAAACTTTAGTTTTCAAGTTATGTGAGAATTCCATGAAAGCTTAGCACCCATTAGATTTTGATTATGTCCAGAAATCTAGCTTTGGTTTATTTTTTTATTTATTTTCTCAAGTTAATTTAAAATGTTAAAGTTTTTAAAGTTTGCATCTTTAGAAGCACACATAATCCTACATTAATATTGAAGTTTTTACTCACACCAAGTTGAGAGGGCATGGAGGAACAAAAGTAGCAGACGGCCCAGTAGAAGACTCATCCTCGTACAATTCACCGTTGAATACTGATACTGATGACAACTTCCCTTGAGAGTCATCTTTGTTCCCCACCCCCACTACCCCAAGATGTAATTTAGGTTTTTATACAGCAGTTATGTCATTTCCTTTACTCAATCAAATTAATATTTTGTTATGCAAAATTCAGTACATAAGAAAATATTGTCAGTGTTGTCAAAACTCAAACTCTTATTTACGGTAAGCGGTAAGTTTATTTAAACTGTATAATGTTTCCATTAGTCTTTACGGTCATTAATGTAGGTAGTACACAGGAAACATATAGAACACAATGAATAACTGGGTACATTGTCCCATGATGTCACACATCAGGTATTCAGAGTGTGTGGGAAAATAAAACTACATGGAGACCTGATGGTGAAGAAAGTGTCACAATTATTTGGTACAAGAAGTCTTTGTGCAGAGAAGTGCAAATTTAAAACATAAAAAGAGCTTTTCATACTTTTCATACATATTTATGTTAAATTTGTGTCTTTCCTATAGAGGCTGTGGTCATAGGACAAAGCTAGCTGTCCTGTGGCTACATCGCTCAGCTGGTTCACGATCAATACAGAAGGTAAACTGAAACTTCCAGACTTGTTCCCATTGTATGTTACTTGTCTTTAATAAAATATTAAGGCACTATGTAGCATACTTGTGAATTTAATTAAATATATCCCTGTTATGCCATTTTCTCGTCCATTTATTACCTAGAAAAAAGAAAGAAAAGCCCAACCCTGTCCCTCAGAATCTCGAAAAATGAGCAGCAAAGAATTTTTTAGCAGCAGTCATGGACATTACTTCTATTTTGTGAGAACGGACAAGAGAGGGATGGTAAAATGAAAACTGCATCCAAGACAGAAACAACACAACTTCAGACATGCTAACAGGAAGCTACAGAAGAACCCAGAGTGATGTTGAAACTGAGCGTATGCTGAGCTGAGTCTTGCTTCCAGAGCCTCATCTTCAGCACTTAACAGAAGTACTGATGAGTTAGGAGTCCAGTAGCCTTGTAGCCTTCAGTCCTACTCTTACATATAAATAAAGTAGAATCACTATGGTAATTGCTTTGAAGTCTCTTTGGGCAGGTTTTCTGCAACTGCTTTGTGTTGTCGGTTTGTGTTTATGCTCATTGGGATTGAGATTTCAATCAATATGTGTAGCCCCAGGTTTTACTATTAACTGGTAATTATGTGACAATGCATTTCAGGTCATGTTATGGAGTAACGTGAAAGTAATGGATCGAGAAGTAACAAATTACTTTCTCTGGCAATTAGTTAAGTAACGTACTGTGATATCTTTAAGAAAAGTAACAAGTGGTGTGTAATGCATTCCCTTAAAGTATTTGAAAGTAGAAAGGGAGGCAGAGCCTTCAGCTTGCAAGCCCTCTTCTGTGAATCAGCTTCCACTTTGGATTCAGGGAGACAGACACCCTCTCTATCAAGGCCAAGTGGCCAGCGTGCAAAGGCATTGCCCAAAAGCAGACTCAAAACACTGGTTTTTATTTTTAGACAAAACTTTAATTAACACAAGGATCACTAAGGTCACAGGAGCGGGACCCACTGCAATAGCGGGAGAAGATGAGTTACTTCCAGAGCTCAGGTTGAAGATAAGTATGATTGCAAAAGGAGTGAAAGAAGGTTTGCTTATTTTTAGCAGTGCGATGCAAGGCCATAGGGGTGGTTTCCCTAGTGAGTGTCTGAGAGATGGAACTTGTAGAACGAGATGTTTGACCTTTCCTTTCCATTTCCAGACCTAAGGTATGTTGCAGCAACCAGAAGGGCAGACGGAGATTTCAGACTTATTCCACGTATTCCACGAAGACCTGAGGTAAGAGGAACAGTAGTTGGCAGGTAAGTTTCTGACAGGCAGTGAGACAGGAAGGAGGATCAGCATCAGAGGAAATCTGGTTCTTAACAGAGGCGAGTTAATGTTGATCCAAAGGTGCAAAAGCTGGAAACACAGAGAGTGCAGTGTTACTGACCCTACTTCTGCTGGAGGTTTCTTCCTGTTTAAAAGAGTTTTTCCTTCCCACTGTCGCCAAAGCGCTTGCTCATAGGGGCTTACGTGATTGTTGGGGTTTGAATTGAATTGGAAATCCAGTGCGTTTACTGTAATACCGATTTGCATTTTTCAAAACATCATACCAGACTAGGTAGTTTTAGGGTAACGTGTTCTTACTAACATGTTTCTGATCCATTTGAACAAAAAGTGTCGTACAACAGAAGGTGAAGAGTAAATTCCATAGCATACAATCATAGTGCAGCAAAGTTCAAGATAGTCTGTATATGAGTCCCCTTGAAACTGTAGCGCTATTGGGGAACTTTCATGAACGTTAAACAACAATACACACTTTCTACTGTTAAGTGATAACAAATGGAAGTTGTTTCTTTTCGTATTCATAAAGACTCTAAATAAGAGTCTTTATGTATGTAGTGTGTAGTTTAAAGTTTACCAAGCGGAAGTGGCCTAGTGCTCTCCTCTGGCCTGTCAGTGTGATGACAAACAGGAAGACCTTTAGCCACAAACCACTAAGTCACTAAGTCACCACGAACATTACACACACCATGCAACATGCATGTTATACCTATATATCCTTAATTCTTCCATCTTTGTACATAGTATATAGTAATTCTGTATTTTGTCTTGTAGTTTGTCCTCCAGCTCGCACTGGAACAGTTTGCAGCCAAGTGTGAAGCGGTGGGAATGAGAATCAGCACCTCCACATCTGAGGTCATGAGCCTCAGAGGGAAAAGTGTGGAGTGCCCACTCTGGGTCAGGGACAAGTTCCTGCCCCAAGTGGAGGAGTTTAAGTATCTCTGGGTCTTGTTCACTAGTGAGGTGATATGAGGTGCTCCGGGCACATCATACCACACTGCTAAGTACACTGCTAAGGAGTATCCTATTACACATTAATACTCAAATATACTCACATATACATACGCAGAGTATACTTTCATTCAATTCAATTCAATTCAATTCAATTTTATTTATTTAGCACCAAATCACAACAACAGTCACCTCAAGGAGCTTTACATTGTACAGTAGATCATACATGCCATCCATGCCCTCTATATATGTACACTATATATATATATATTTATATAAGGTATAAATTATCATTATTATTATTATTATATTCTGTATACAGAATCTGCAGACGAGCCGGTTGTCCCACTGTGTTAATGTGGATGCCCTGTGTACATTACAAACCCTTCTCTGACTCTGAACAACTACAAATATTCTCCTTTTGATTACATTACAATAGGAATGAACAAGTTATAGTACAAAAAAATTGCATTTGAAAAAATTGTAAAAGCAGGGTGTTTTTTGCTGTTAGACCATCCATTATGGCGTCATCCTTTTCTGAAGGCAGTGAGACTTTTAGCTTTTCAGGAAGATCCCCCTCACCTCTACCCCCACCCTCGCAGTGGGGTCTAGACTCTTGCCCCATAGACATTGCAACATTGCTTTTAATGAGAAGTGGAAATGAATGTGGTGAATGGGAGGTGCAACAGTGGGATTTTGAAATGGTAGACATCCATGACATCACCGCAGGAAGGAAAAGGTTCGAATAACAGAAATAATGTTTGCCTTAAAGTCTTTTTTTATTTTTTATTTAGCTAATTCTGATTGGTTTCACAGAGGAAGGACTGCTTTCAGTCAGCTGATATAAAGAGTTAAAACAAGAGTATAAATAGTCAGTACTCTTCCTGTTTGGATCTTTGCTAAGGTCCTTTTTAGAAGGTAACACCGCCCCAGTTTTTATTAGAATTGAGTACCTAACTACACTGTACTACACTATACTACAGCGGGCGATCGTGGCTCAAGAGTTGGGAGTTCGCCTTGTAATCGGAAGGCAGTTCGAGCCCCGGCTTGGACAGTCTCAGTCGTTGTGTCCTTGGGCAAGACACTTCACCCGTTGCCTACTGGTGGTGGTCAGAGGGCCCGGTGGCGCCAGTGTCCGGCAGCCTCGCCTCTGTCAGTGCGCCCCAGGGTGGCTGTGGCTACAATGTAGCTTCCATCACCAGTGTGTGAATGTGTGTGTGAATGGGTGGAATGACTGGATATGTAAAGCGCTTTGGGGTCCTTAGGGACTAGTAAGGCGCTATATAAATACCATTTACCATATAATCAATGAAGGCACAGAGAGTCTCATGATGTGAATAACTCAACTCACATGAATCTGTTAAGAATTGAAATTTGTCCGTGTTACATAACACATATATGGTTGTATTCAACCTGCTTTCTCTAACTCCTTTTAACTTTGACTTCAATTGTGACGAGCTGCAAAGTAGAAAAATAGAAACATTGAAGAAAAATTGTTTCTCTTTGTGAATCTGTTATCTTGACATGCGTCTTCCCCTCGGACTATCTTACCCTACTTGTCGCACTAATGTAATGTTTGAGTGTGCTGTGCTGAATGTAGTCCTGAGTGTAATTGTGCACACAGCAAACAGAACAGCGTTGTCAAGTGACAACAGGCACACAGAAGCGCGGAGCCAAAAGACACATTGAGACTAACTGAAGCTCATAGTAAATGGTGTAAACATAATTTTGGCCTGAATAGACCTCCACAGACCAACATCTAGCAGAACGCAACAGCCAAATCAGATGAAGAGCATCAACACCACAGAACTAAAGCCGTGCTGACACTCAAGCAGCTCTTTTTCAAGTTAACTTTGTCCCAGCTGAAGTGCAGTTCACAGTTCAAAAGGTGCATCACATTCTGTCATGTGCTCAGTTTACACAGAGAGTGGGCTTACGAATATAAATTTGTCACAAATATAGTTCTCATAGCTGCAGCAAGAGACTGTCATGACATTTACACCTTCTTTTCCCCTCTGGAAATATTTATTATGCCTAAAATAAGCTATTGGAGATGATTGTGTCTCTTTTAATATTTTTTTGTGAATGAGTCACAGCAGTGGGTAAATGTGAACACTTTCCACCTACCAGCTGCCCTTTCAACAGCAGTTTACAGCTGTTTTCAAATGGTCCT